TGATTTCCTAGTCCTTCCGATGTCGAATCGGTCTTTCTGGTCCTTTTCCCACGGGACCTCGAAGAAGACGCGTTACTTGACTGGTTTTTTCTTCCTCCACTTGTTTTTGTGTGACCATAATTATGCATAGGAGGATGTTGTCCATCGAAGTTTTGGTTCATAAATGGATGGAGATTAGCAAATTGTTGATTAACTTGATTTAAATTATAATCAGCATTGTTTCCATATCCACCAACATTACTTGGGAAATGGTCTTGAATATAAAAATTCTGTCCATGGAGAGGTAAATTATCATGATGAACAGCTCCAGTAAAACCAAAGTCATCATTGTTTCCATCATGGTTTACATATCCGCCATCATGCACATTAACATGATGCATAGGGGGATAGGGTCTAGCATCGCTATCTTGATTCCAGCTCATATGGCTTCCATAACCGCAACTTGCCAATTCAAAGCAAAAAATAAAAATTAAATTCCGTAAAAGCATTTTAATATTTAATTTGTCAACTATAAAAATTAAAAAAAGTGAATTAAATTAAAAACTGATGCATTATTGCTATATTAAATTCACTTTTATTTTCCCAACTTTTGGCCATGCCAGGGCGGAGTATCTGAAAATTAAGAGTGCTGTTGTATAGTGAAGGAGATGCGCAGCGCTTGTAATTGAAAAGGATTCATGCAGCGGCACTTCATGCCCCTATAATAAATATATATGTATGTATATCCAATATTATGTATATCCATGTATATAGATATCCATATATATAGATATCCATGTATATATGTAGATATCCATGTATATAGATGGATATCTATATACATGTATATAGATTTTGAATCGATAATCTTTATGATATCCACGTATTTTACTTCCTCTTAATATTGAATTTTAAAAAATTCTTCCTTATAGACAGGCTTTACGACTAATGCGGAACTGGAAACTTTGACGACAATTGCGGACGATAATTACGGAATTGACAGTTCCGGATTTAAAATTTTAAAAAATTTTTAAAAATTATTGAAATGGATCCGATTTTTAGCACGGCTGTAGGTATCCTACAATTCTAAAATAGATTTAAATTTTATAACTTGTACAGTTTCGAACAGCTGTAGATATAAGTTAATAAAAATAAAGATTTTTAATTTAATGCATTTTAAATATATTTTTAACGAAGAATAAAATTTATTTTGAAAATAAATTTTGTACTATTTAGAATTGGATAATTTTCAATTTTTAAAATCGGAGACGGAAGGCGGAAGAAACTGGAATAAAATAAAAAGTGGCAGACGGATGGCGGAATCGGAAAGGCCAAAAAAGGGCAGAATTCTGTGGATAGCGGAATCCATCCCTGATGTGTATGTATATCCATGTATATGTATGTATATCCAATCCCTCCTTGCGTGCGTCAAGCATGCCTGTCTATTATCCATCGCTTCAATTATTGACATATCCTATGATTTTTAAATGCGATTCATGTAAAATTTATTGACTATATTTTTTAAATATTCAATAATTAAAAAATTTAAAAAATCCAACAATTAAAAAAACTTTGTTTTATTATTAAAATTGAAGATTTAAATAAATGCAACATGAGAAAAAATAAAATTTAAATTTTGAAAAATTATCACCAACGGAGGCACAAGTTTGTAAAAATATTTTTTAAAAATTAAAATAAATTTATATTTCAATTTTTAAATTTAAAAAATTGAAAGTTAAAAAAATGAATTTTTATATTTAACATTTTGAAACAAAAATCAAGAGCGGAGAAAAATTTCTCCAAAATAATTATTTTTTCAATTATTATACAGAATTTTTATTAATTCTTCATAACATCGCCAACTACTCTATTGGAATATGTAGGAGATAAAGCAGCCGAGATTGGAGCTGATAGAGAAAAGGCGCGAAGTGAAGGAATTACTTAAAATTTAAAAATTGTTAAATTGATTTTTATTTCTGCGTTATGCGCCCCATGGACTTTTAGGCGTCCCATGGACTTATAAGCGTCCCATGGACTTTTAAGCGCCCCATGGACTTTTAAGCGTCCCATGAGAGAGTATGCCCATGGGACGGTTAAAAGCTCATGGGTCACTTAAGAGCCCGTGGGACGCATGCCCTAAAATAGAGTCATTATTTTTTAAATTTATAATAAATTTAAAAAATATATATTATGCAAAACTTCTTTTAAAGCCTTACCATCATTTGTCAATAAATCAACAGGAGAATGAAAATCGGAATTAAAAGAAAAATAAGGCGAAAATGGAGAGTTAATAAAATCGCTGCTAGAATTATTTCCATTATTGGTTGAGGTTGAGGTATATGAAGCAGAACAGCTACTGATACTTGAGGTAAAATGATGGGCGATATCGTCGTTGTCTGTTATATTATATTTAAATATATACCTATTTAAAGATTAGGATGTATGCTTTCCGGAATAAATTTTATACATAAACCTTCCGGAAAATAAATATAATACTTTCCGGAAATTGAATGTAACTCTTCCGGAAAATATTAAAATATTCTCAAGTAAAAAGCAAATTTCCGGAAATATAAAAATATATATTTAACTTTCCGGAAACATTTTAATATTATACAATATTTCCGGATATGATTTAATTTCCGGAAAAATTTATAAACTTTACGGAAACTAATAAACTATTTCAAGCAAAAAGCAAAGTTCCGGAAAATATAAATAGGTATATTTTTAACTTTCCGGAAACAATATGTATTATACTTTAATATTAATTCCATTTTTCCGGAATTGAATTTTCTTTCCGGAAAAATTTATAAACTCCGGAAAATGATAAATTAAGTTTCCGGACTCAGAGGAATTTTCCGTAAATGTATTTAAGTTTCCGGAATAAGTCTTTATTAAATTACAAAGATCCTCTACCTTGTCTTCCATCATCACTGCAGGAAGAACATGAATTTATGCTACTGCTTGCTGATGAAGAATGAACTGAATGTTGTGAACTTGAATCCCCACTTAAAAGAGGCGTATTTCTGTAATGGTACTCCAAATTTAAAGAATCCTCTGCATCGGAAGAGGAATAATAAATTTCATTATCTTCATGATCCAGACTTGGAACTTGGTTAGCCTTAAATTTAAAGTTTGCTAAAAATAATATTATAATTTCCGGAATTAATTAATACACTTAAGTTTCCGGAAATTAATTTAATAAAAATTTAAACTTTCCGGAATTAATTAATAAACTTAAGTTTCCGGAAATAAATGAATAAAATTAAACTTTCCAAAATTAATTTATAAACATAAGTTTCCGAATATGAATTTAATAAAAATTAAACTTTAAGTAATTTATAAACTTAAGTTTCAGGAAATAATTTAATAGAAATATCTTTAATAGCCGTATCTGAAAATAATGCTGCAATCATATTTTTTCCTTCATTTTTTCCTTTCCATATTTTTCCTTATTTTGTACAGAAAGGTCAGACTTTTTCACTCGTTCACTTCCAATGAATTTCCCTGTAGCATGTTCAAATGTAATTATAGAGAAAAGATTAAAAGCAAAAAATAAAAAAATATTACATTTTTGTGTTGTAAAACATAGACAGACAAAACACGGACGAAGACGGACAGAACATACGAACGAACACGGGCAGTCAAGACACTGACGGACTCGGACAGAAAACACGGACGGACACAGAAAGACAAAATACGGACGGACACAGACAGACAAAACACGGACGAACTCGGACAGTTTTGACAAAACACGGACGAACTCGGACAGACAGCAAAACACGGACGAAGACGGAGACAGACAAAACACGGACGGACACAGACAGCAAAACACGGACGAAGACGGAGACAGACAAAACACGGACGGACACAGACAGACAAAACACGGACGAAGACGGAGACAGACAAAACACGGACGGACACAGACAGACAAAACACGGACGAAGACGGAGACAGACAAAACACGGACGGACACAGACAGACAAAACACGGACGAAGACGGAGACAGACAAAACACGGACGGACACAGACAGACAAAACACGGACGAAGACGGAGACAGACAAAACACGGACGGACACAGACAGACAAAACACGGACGAAGACGGAGACAGACAAAACACGGACGAACTCGGACAGACAGCAAAACACGGACGAAGACGGAGACAGACAAAACACGGACGGACACAGACAGACAAAACACGGACGAAGACGGAGACAGACAAAACACGGACGAACTCGGACAGACAGCAAAACACGGACGAAGACGGAGACAGACAAAACACGGACGGACACAGACAGACAAAACACGGACGAAGACGGAGACAGACAAAACACGGACGGACACAGACAGACAAAACACGGACGAAGACGGAGACAGACAAAACACGGACGGACACAGACAGACAAAACACGGACGAAGACGGAGACAGACAAAACACGGACGAACTCGGACAGACAGCAAAACACGGACGAAGACGGAGACAGACAAAACACGGACGGACACAGACAGACAAAACACGGACGAAGACGGAGACAGACAAAACACGGACGAACTCGGACAGACAGCAAAACACGGACGAAGACGGAGACAGACAAAACACGGACGGACACAGACAGACAAAACACGGACGAAGACGGAGACAGACAAAACACGGACGGACACAGACAGACAAAACACGGACGAAGACGGAGACAGACAAAACACGGACGGACACAGACAGACAAAACACGGACGAAGACGGAGACAGACAAAACACGGACGAACTCGGACAGACAGCAAAACACGGACGGACACAGACAAACGGACGAACTCGGACAGACAAAGCACGCACACACATCGGACAGAAAAAAAGTAAATGCTCACAAAAATGAAGAAAAATAATCTATTGCGAAGAAAAATAGTCTTAAGGCACAAATCAGAAATAGAGAGAAAAATATGAGAAAATTAACCATTTTTAAGAATAAGGAAAAAATATGATTGCAGCATTATTTTCAGATACGGCCGAAATTAAATTTTCAGGAATTAATAATCATTATTTACCTCCAATTCGCTATGATCACTATTGTTAACAACTTCCTCAACATTTCTTTCAGGAAGAACATCAACTGAAACATTTTCTTTGTTTAACACTGCATTTTTTGTAGGGGTTGTATTCCTTTCCTCAGACTGTTCCTCCTCCTCATCTATAGCCACCAAACGAGGTTCAGAATTTGAGCGTTTAATCTTCAAAATATAAAATATTTTTCAAAAAAATTTTTTCAAAAAAATTTCTGAAGCACCTGAGGCCTAAAATTGAGAGAACCAGTTAAAAGAAGCTGTTTACGCCTCGGACAGCTAATATTATTTTTGGAAAGAAGCAATAAAAGTGAATTTTTTCGAGCACGTTCAGTTGCTAATTTTTCCCGTTTATACTCCTTAAATGGAAAATTTTTAATTTATAAAATCTCAAAATTAATTCCACTTGTAAAGCAGCCTGTAAATATTGGTTTAATAATTTCTCAAGTCGTTCAGGCTCTGTTGGCCTTTTGCATAGTACTGCATGGCATCTAAGCTCGGGTTTCATACGTTTGCCTTCGTGTTTGTAAATCCAACAAAAAACTCTCTAAAATTAAAAAAAATATTTTTTAATTTTATAGAGTGGAGAATATTTAATTACCACTATATTTGAACTTCGATATCCAATCCCCCCAAAAGTAAACCTCAAATTTAAAATAGGTTTCCTAAAAGTTAGTTTGGGGGAAGAATGGAGATGTCGAGAGAGCTACTTGAGAGTTAGTTTGGCTGGAGTATGGAGGTGTTGAGGAAGCTGCTTAATGATACCTTCTATTTAATATACTCCTAGTTATAAGGGACGATTTTTTTAGTCCCAAGTGTGTATAGCATATTCACCAAAGGGTGGATGTAGTTCAGTACCAAGGGTAGGACTAAATGAATTTTAAGCGAGCACTATTGTTTATTCAAAAAATAATTTTTTTAAAAATTCCAAAATTCACCGGATACTGTTGCGGAGCTGAACAAAAAGTAATTCTGTGTGCCCAATATTCGGTTAGCCCCAATTGCTTTGTTTCTGTCTTTATTCCAGAATGGGTAACACATAAACTCATTCGAATAGGTTGTGAATTAATCTTGTTTTCTTTATGTTGCTTATTATTTGTTTGTTTTGTAGCATTCCACATACGCCAGATAACACTCAAGGGCCGTTCGATGCTTGCTTCACCTTTGCCCAGACCGGCGGTGAGAACATTTCCCAAATAAATAACCTGAATTTTAAGATTATTTAAAACTTGAAGCAAAGCTTTAATTAAAAATATTAAAACTTGAAGCAAGTTTAATAAAAATTTAATAAAAATTCAAAATTCTGATTAATATTAAACTTGAAGCAGGCGGTTTAATCAAAATAAAGCTAAGTTTGAAACTTGAAATAAAACTTTGATTTTTAAGTTTAATCTTAAATTTGGAAGTAGGCCTAAAGAATAAAGTCTAAGTTTAAACTTAAATAAAGTTTAATTATTTAATAATATTAAAACTTGTAGCAAATTTAATAAAAATTGAAAACTTTGAAAAACTTTTCAATATTAAACTTGAAGCAGGCGGTAAAATAGAATTAAAGCAAGTTTAAAACTTGAAATAAAACAAAATAGGTTTAAGCTTGAACTTGAAAACTAAATGTTAGTTCAAATTTAATTTAATTGTTTAAGTTATTAAATTATTTCAAGTTTGAGCTTAAACCTGAAAGTAAGCTTAGATTAAAGTTTAAACTTAAACAAAGTTTAATTATTTCGTAAGTTCTAAATTGTTTCAGTTTTAAGCTTAAAAAATGTTTCAAGTTTAAGTAAAATATAAAATTGGTTTTAAGTTTAATAAAATTATTTCAAGTTTTAACTGCGACTTATTAAACTTTAAATTAAAGTTTCAAGTTTCTACTGATTAAAAAATATATTTCAAGCTTAAACTTAATTTAAATTTCATGCTTAAGATAATAATATTATCTTATTAAAATTATTCACCTGACACGTTGGTTCAGGCGGATTCATATCATAACTTTGTTTTTTCCTTCTGAATATAGAAGGTAATGAACTCGAAAAAATATTTGTAGTTGGTGTAGACATGCTGGGCATTATTTTAATTTTATTAAATAATTCTAGAAAAATTTTTGAATAAAAAATTTTTTTAATTAAAAGAAAATTAAATTTATATTTCCCATTTAAATGTCAATTTCTCAGCATTATTAGTTAAAATAAATTTATTGAGTAACCAAATATAGAGTCGACTAATAAGGAAATAAAAAACAAAGAATATAAATGGGCATGTCTGTTGAGGGGCAAATATCAAATTTCATTAAAAAATTAAAAAAGGGAGGGAATAGGGAGAATTAAAAGTCTGAGGATTAAAAAAAATTAAATTTGGGATTAATTTAAAAATAAAAAATAATAACTGGAAATTAGCGATATTATTTCCATTAATTTTATTTTCCAAAAAATGCTGTCTGCAACATACATTTTTTGGTTACACTCGTAAAAGCATTAAAAAAAGCTTATAAATTCATCACTTAACACAGATAATTAATCATTTTCTCATCCACACGTGTAAAGCAACAAAATTTTTACATTAGCTTTACTTGTTGGGGATGAGCGGGTAAAAAATAAAGTTAAAATAGAACGAAAATGCACTGTGTGAATAACGATAAAAGGGAAATAACAAAAAAATTGATAAAATCTAGACAGTTTTTAGCTGGAGGAAGCTGTAAATCTGGTGAAATAAAATGGGAGAATTAAATGCGATAACTGAGAAAGTTGGCTAAAGGTAGTCAGATAAGCACATGTGATGATAGGGAGAGAATAAGAGGTGATAATTGGGAGAGTTGGGATAAAGGAGGAGTAATAATGATAAGGGATAGTTGTATTATTAGGATAAGCGAACTGTTAAAATCATTATACAAAATACTTGAGCTAATGAAGAGACTTATAAGAATAAAGGAGTGAATAAAAAATGATAACTGCGTCGGATAAGGAAATGTAAGGATGCGGGAGGAAAATAAACGCGATAATTGGGAGAGTTGGGATAAAAGGTGTAATATCATAAAAGAATCTTGCATGATAAATGGTATTATTAGAATGAGGGATCTGTTAAAAAGATCATGATACAAAATATTTGAGATAACGAAGAAAATTGCTTCGAGATAATTGATAGATTGAGATAAAATTAAGGTTGGGCAGATATTAAGCGAAGATCTTCACAGTTTGAGATGAAAAATAAATGACAGAATATGTATATCCCTATAAACAAAAATTTCTTAACTGAAAAAATGTAACATCGTTCCCTACAATCCACTCTAATTTAGCATAAAAATTAATTTATTCTATCATGCGTAAAGGACCAGAAGTATTCTCCCATTAATAAAATCACCACATGGATCGACACTTTCACTTGCCATCAAACCAAAAATTTTTGGGGGACGCAGTGGAATGTTGTTGATTATTTTATAGGGGAAGATAGTGCGCATCTATTGAAGGAAAAAATTCTTTTAGTTTAACTAAACTGCGATAGGGGGATAGGTGGAAATAGAAGGTTATTTACTTCAATATGTTGTAAGGGGCAAAGTTTTTTTTATGATTTAGTGTAGGCTAGAGAGAAAAATATAAAAAATCCTCCCTTATTTTCGGCAGAAAATGGACAGAAAAATAATACATAAATAATATTCTGATTAAGTTTATAAAATTCTGATAATATTTTTATTATTTGTTATTGTTTTTATTTGAAGATCACTTTGTTTTAGATATCTGATCTCTCTTTGTCAATTTATTTCATTATTATCAGCGTTAATTTTTGCAGAATTGTTTCCAATTTTGCTTCAGAATTAATAGATGTAATAAATTCTGATTTATTAGTTGTAAATTCTGAAATAATTTAAAATATTCTGACAGTTGTTAGGTAAATATTTATTTCTGATCTTTTTTGTTTTAATCAGAATAATTTCTGATTTATTATGATTTATTTCTGGTTTATTTCTGATTAAATTCTGATTACTATTTATTCTGGTTTAATTCAGAATAATTTCTGATTTAACTCAGAATAATTTCTGATTTAATTTAGAATAATTTCTGATTAATTTCAGAATAATTTCTGATTTATTCAGAATAACTTCTGGTTTAATTTAGAATAATTTCTGATATACTATGATTTATTTCTGGTTTATTTCTGAGTAAATTCTGATTATTTATTCCAATATAATTCAGAATAATTTCTGGTTTATTACTCAGAATAATTCTGATTCAATTAAGAATAATTCTGATTTAATCAGAATAATTCTATTTTGATTAGAATAATTCTGTTTTAATTAAAAATAATTTCTGATTAAATTCTGAATAATTTCTGATGTGAATAGAATAATTTTTGATTTAAATCAGAATAATTCTGAGTAATTATGATTTATTTCTGTTTTAATCAGAATAATTTCTAATTTAATTCTGATTATTTATTCGATTTATTTATGATTTCTGATTTATTCTGATTTTTATTTCTGATTTATTTAAGGGTTATTTATTATTCTGATTATTTATTTATTTATTATAAATCAGAATAATTCTGATTTTATTATAATGTATTTGTTAATTATTTATTAAGTAATAATTCGATATTTGTGTAAATATTTTTTAAAAATTAATAATTAAATTAATTAATTAAATAGTAAATCATTTGGTTATTAAAAAAAATTAATAAATTTTACTAAAATAATTCTAACACTGTTTAAACTAATTTTAGAAAAATTAGATAAAATTAAAAAGATTAATGATCAACTGATTATTAATAAAAGATAAAAAAAAATAATTTAATAACCAAAAATAAAAAAATTGTGACAAGTAAAATTTGTAAAATTAATAATGTAGTTTATGTCGAAATTACTGTTTTAACTGATTAAAATAATTAAAACATTAAAAAAATTTTTTTTGATATTTATCATTTTTTTATTTCTGTGAAAATTAATTTTTAATTAATTTTTATTCGTTAAAATAGAAACAAAAGAAAGAAAAGGAAGAAAATTAAATTCTATAATGATTTTAAAAATTATCTAATGATAAGACCTATCTGGATAAAATATCACATTTTGATATAATATAAAATAATAAGACCAATTAAATTCAAAAAGTACCGTATTTTCTCGATTAATTCCCCTGGGGAATTATTTTTTCAACCCTCCCTTGGCATGGGGAATTAATCGAGGGAGGTGAATTATTCGAGTTTTGGCATTTAACGTGCAGTAGTGTATTTGGGGGTGGGGAATTATTGTTTCAACCCAACTCTAGCATGGGGAATTAATCGAGAGGAAGAATTATTCAAGGGAGGGGAGTTAATCGAGGGAGGGGAATTAATCGAGAAAATACGGTAATTTAAGCAGAACGAGATATCACAAGGCCTTGAATCTAATTAGTTTATTCTGACTTATTTCTGACTTATTTCTGATATCTTTCTGATTATTCTGATTTATTTGATTTATTCTGCATTATTTTTAAAATATTAAATGCAACTTATACCCTATTACTTGCTTATTTTTGATATAATTCTGTTAGACAATTCTGATATTTTTCTGATTTTCCTGATCTAATTCAGATTTATTCTGATTTTATTCTGATATAATTTTTCAACTTAATATATAATTAAAAAATATACCTTAAAATAATTTTTGCGTTAAGGGGTAAAGGTCACACGAAATTGTTTATTATTTGAGTACCTTATGGAAAAATAATTATCTCAAGGTTAAAAATAAAGGTCCTTTTTTATTAGTATAAAAAAAATAAAAAATAAAATTTCGTGATGAAAATTATAAAAAAAAATAAATAAAAATAGCCAAGAATTCAAGAAAAAAATTGAGAAAAAAATTGAGAAAAAATAGAGAAAAAAAAATTTATTTTTAAAAACAATTTAAAAACTCAATATTGACTGATTAAGATTGCGCAGTGATGCGCGAGAGTAAAAATTAAATTGTTGAATTTGAATGGATTTGATTTTAATTTTAAAATAAACACAAACAAAAGTACCATGAATAGTCGTCATCCACCCACTCAGAAACAATTAAAAAAATTTTGGGTAAGGCGGGGGAGGATAATAAGAAATTTAACAAGTGTGAGTAATTCAGTGTAAACAAGGAAGTTGAAATAATGAAAATCATGAGGGTGTGGAATTAATTAAATTGATAGTGTAATTGTTGAAAACATCGCGCAGACAGAGGCAATTTGTTTTTTTAATCTTAAAAACTACAAAAAATGAATAAAACATAAACTATTGAGAGAGAGAATATTTAGGTCTGAGAATATTTAGCAGATCTAGATATCCGGATTCGAAGTACAGATACACAAAAATATTTGTTAAGATTCCAAATCAAGTATCGGATATCCGATTTGCCAGGTTCTTCCTACCTTATTTTGAGCAGGAGGGGGAGTGGGGATAGGGTCAGATCAAGTCCCGTACATCAGATGCCTTAATAGGTTACTTCCACCTTATTTTGAGGAAAGGAGGAGAAAGGAGGGGGAGTGGTCAGAGGGCCAAATCAAGTCTCGGATATCCCAAGTCTTACAAGGTTCCTCCTTTGTTTGGAGGTGAGGAACGTGGGGTGAGGGTAGGGGAAAGAGGGGAGTAGGCTCGAAAGGTTCCCCAACCTTGTTTGGAGGAGGGATAGGGTAGTGAGGGAAGGGGGAGGGTGGGGGACGTATACCTAAATCGCTCCTTTTTATTTAGTTGAACTTAAACTTTAAAATTAATTTTTTCAGACTACTAATTTAATTTTTCTAGAATAAAAGTCAAAATCCAATGAGTTTAACCACTTAAAAGAGGGAGAGAAGGATGAGAGGTAAGGGATTTACAAGTGGAATATAAGACGAAAATATTTTAAAAGTTGAGTGTTTTTGTGTCATCATAAAAAATATTAATTTTGAGGTCATTAAATAAATAATTTAAAATTAATATAAAAATATTCAATTGACCTATTTTAAGATACACCCAATACAAGACACAGCTCGATTAAAAATTGTCGCGAATTTAGGAGTAGAGACAGCACGAGATGAGTCTTATGAGTTGATTCTAGACAACTTAGGTTTTTGTTCAAGAACCATTTACGGTCAGTCTGAAGCTGCCTAAGAGATCCTCCCTGATAGTGATGGTGCGATAACCAGAAATTTTCCCCCAATTTCCTCTTAATTTTTTTCCTAATATCCGTCACTTAATATCATCTATATTATTCCTCTAATTTAATATACCTACTCTAAATTTACTTATAATACCTTGGAAAGAGAGAGATATCTCGAAGAGAAATAGCTGAGAGATAGATATCATGAAGAGAGATCGAAATCGACATCTCGCTTAGATAACGAAGAGCAGACCTCGGCACAATATCTACTATGGAGCTGCCTAAGATATCCTATATATTTAATAAAGACTTAATTAAATATAAGATATAATTCTCTCAAACTCGAGAGTATCTTACAGTATGCCTCATTTTTTAAAATTTAATTTTCATATCAAAATTCAAGAAATTTTTAAAATTAATTTTTAATTCAAATTAATTTTTAATTAAAATTAAGACACCAAAAACCAACCAAAAAATAATAACTAAAAAATTCCATTAAAATTATCTAATCTAAAAAATTAATTTAAAAAAATTTCAAAAGACAAAGTACAATATAAACAAGGAATTCCACACATAAAAAATTTATTTTTATCGGAAACGAATCGAGTTATAATTAATAAAAGTGTAAGGGTAGTTTGGTGGTCTTTTTAACTCATTCTCTCTCCCTCTTTCCTTTATGGAATATCGCGCGCAAGAATCTCTCCAGTTAAAATCTATCCAGTAAATATTTTAAATAAACACGTTAAAAATATTCGGAAATAATAAATAAATAAAGAGAATAGAGAATAAATTGAATAAAGGAGGAAAATGAGGAAAAAGTACTTTAAGGAAGTTGAGGTATTTTAATGAATTTGGGAATGGCTAGAAATTTTAATATCTGTATCCGGATCAGAGGCGGGTAGGAACAGTTAGAGGTGTCGAAAATCGGAAGAGATGGAAATTGGAACTGGCTCATAAGTCGGAACTCGGAAATCAAAATTTTTTCAGAAATTGAAGGAGTCGGAAAACGCAATGCGCCCGCTCCTGATC